ACAGCACTGCCAGGTTAGGACAGTGCCATTGTCTACATTAAAAAAAAAAAAAGGAGATCAGTATTAATATGAGTGGTGCAAACACATAAAGTTATTTCCCTAGACATACTGTCTGTGTAATTGCATAGATAATGCTCCCGGGGAAAAAAACGATAGGAGTCATATAAGTCGCCCCTGGTCATAATGGGGAGAAGGCGTAATGCCTGACGTGCCAAAATGTTAGAGCAGAAGGTAGAGCCACAGGGAGAAAGGAGGGTAAGTGGTTAAATGCGCTTAATAAAAATCAAATGCAGGCCTGAAAATGTACTCATGAAAAGACAAATGAAGACAGGAGATAGACGTGTAAAAAGAAGAGCGAACACGATGGCCAATTAAAAAGCTCGCTGGGGAGGGTAGGCTTACAAATGCAGAGAAAGTCGAGTTATGCGAGACGCAAATGGCACAACAGAAAAAGGAGAACCAGACGCTATGAGAGATTCAGGAGGATCTGCAGCGCGGGCTCGCAACTGAAAATTGAGGCCCTTCCCAAAAGTGTGAAAAGTGGAGAACAAATGGCGAGCTACTTAGGTAGCCGACTGTGACGATTAATACCGTTAAGAAGACTGAAGAAGGGAGTTGAAGGAGAGGCGGGTGGCACTGACGGTGAGGATGGCCTCAGCGCTCAGGATGTCGCCGTGTAGAGTAAGCTTTGTGTAGCAGGGTGGAATACGGTAAGAACAGCTTTATTTATCTTATTCCTTTCTTGCCACTCCAATGACTGGGACTTGAGGGGGATGAAGGTCTCGCAAGCTCTGTCCCCATCCAGAATGTGACCTTGTAGACTAAGGATGTCAACGCGCCTCCCTCCCCCCTCCCACACTGTTTATTGTGCTACGGCTGCATGCATGATCTTGTATCAGCTCTCTTACAGCAGCCGCACAGGCCCGCATTCGCACCCCAGGAAAATTCACGGTCAGCATCATGATAGGCAGGATTTTGAGAACAGTTCACTAATTCGTGGACGCAATTTGCTGACAAAATAAGGCCAATAGTTAGGTGCTGTTTGTTGGTATAACAATTCTTTCAACAAGCTTGCAAAATGATTGTCCCATAGAAGGAAGATACTACTTGAGTAATTGAAAATTTATTGTGTGCGTCGTCACGGGCTGACGTGTGCTTTCAGGTAGTGTATTAAATGATGATAAAAAGTTGATATCAAGTTACGCTTGGTATGGCCATAAATACTTTTAACTAGTATTGTCAGGTATACAGCATTCAGGATTCATCTGCTCCACAACATTAACTGTTGGTGTTTTTGCAAGATGAATATGCTTCTCAGAGAAAGAAAATGACTTCAATAAGTGTTCACTATGTTAAACATATGTGTAACAAGGACGAAGCACAGTGAATATGATGGGTGGCTAGTTGTTCTTGTTTGGAAAGACGATGAGCGATAAAGGGTCGCTCCTATGATAGGGGCTGACCAAACTAGTAGACTCAAAAGAAGAACAAAGCGGAAAGCAAGACAAGAAGACCTGGAATTGGCTTCATTTCATATTCGTCATGTTGGACATAATTGCGACATTCACAGGAGTATGCAAAAAAATGGGTGATGCGATATTTAAGTAAACCCTCTCTGCGCATGGGTTTAGTTGACCGTACATAACGCTGTTTCGTTTGTGATGTTGTAATTTACCATGGCACTTACTCCCACTCTCTGAGATGCATAGCTGAGTTGTTGCCGTCAGTCTTTGGGTCACTCGTCGTGTCCTGTGTGTCTGCACTGCCTGTGTGTGGTATTGCGTGTGATGTTGTATGAGGGCAGTAGTCCGGCAGTGCCGCAAGTGAGTTGTTAAGAGGTACGATACAGAAAGATGAATATACTGTGGAGTAGGCTATGGTGTTCCAAGCTGAGTGTGTTGTGTGGGCGTCATTTGAAGGTGTTAGTCCTCGCTCCACCGCCGTGGTTCTCGAACTGACAGAGGTGGATGGAGCTGGAAGCAGCCGCGTTCTAGATCGTGGATCCTTATTATGGCCCCATTCTCAGTCAATCCAGGGGTATGACCTTGACAGTAAATAGGTGCTACTTCCGTCTTCTGCGATACATCTTTGTGGATAAGGTACGGGGATGCAGGGTGAAAATGTGTAGTGGATTAGGTTGCTGCCACAACACAAACATTAATTATAGAGGAGAAATAAAAGATCTTGAACAATGCAATGCTATTATTGTTGTGGCAAGCTACAGAATAGGTATATGTTACTGAATACCAATGCGGACGGAATTCGTTTGCCTAAAACAATGTGGGTTGGTGGTGTGTCTTGTTTTGAATTACTCGGAATAGTAAACACACATCAAGTTCTTCCGTTGGGTGGGGTCCAAAGGATAAACGCTGGCTAAGCCTCTTGCCTCTTTGGTGGACAAAGGCAAAAGCATTATCCAAAGAACGAACTCAAAATGTGTGTGGTAATGTGTGTTTTTATTTCCTGCCGTGATTGGTTTCAGTCATTAATAAATGATTAATTTGCTTGTGGTCAATTTTTTTTGTGTGTAAATGAGAAGGATATTGGTCTGGCTGATATATCTTATTTATATCCAATTTTCATTGAGGGTGCAATGCTAGTCACTGATGGAATGTTTCAATCAGTGGTGACACTACTTAAATTTTGGTTCATCTTAGTTGATATTGTTTTGACATACTGTAAAAAAAAAAAAGGAGATAGTATTTACATCTTCAACACATAAATTATTTCCCTAACATACTGTCTGTGTAATGCATAATAATGACTCCGGGAAAAAAAATAAACATAAGTGCCTCATATGAGAAGGCTATGCTGACTCCAAAAATTAGAAAGGTAGACCACAGGGAGAAAAGATAAGTTTAAATGCTGCTGTAATAAAATCAAATGCGAGGCCGAACACAAGTCCAAAAAAAAAAAAAAAGGAGAAAAAAAACAACACAATTAATGCAGTAATTCATGAGAACGATTTGCAAAATGGCACACAGAAAGAGATAAAGCTGTGAGCTTGATAGGGCACCCCTGAATACTTCCAGGTAGTAACAATGGCAGCACTGGAGCCGACTCGTTAATACCGGAGAACGAAGAAGAGTACGGAGGGGTCACTGCGTGAAGGGCCTCAGCTCGGATCGATAACAGTTCAGATGATACTGGACGCTTTACATTCCTGCCTTTCGCCACCAAGGAGGATCCAGGAAGGACTCGCAAAACTCCTGGCCCTCCAGAATGTGACCTTGACATGTCCCCCCCCCCCCCCACATGTTTTGTCTCGGCTCTAGAGCCTCCCACAGCCCGGCCCCGCATTGACCAATCACCTCAGGGCAGAGGCAGGTCGAACAGTTCACCTGACGCAATCTGACAAATAAGGCCCAAGTCCGGTAAAATTCACACTTGATGATATACAGTATCAAAACTCTGTATAATGAGAAAACATACAAACGCTTATGCAAATATAGCTTTCAGTACACAACAACATACAACATTAACTGTTGGTTTTGCAGATGAAATTCAAAGTATTCATACAATATGTGTCACAAAGAAATAATGGCTGGCTCTGTCCGTTATGAAGAGAGAGATAAAAGGGGCAGTGGGGCAAAAACAAAAGAAAAGCAAGACAAGAACAACTAATTGGCTTCAGTTCATATTCGTCATGTTGAATAATTGCACACACAGGAAGCTTGAAGGAGCGAATTAAACCTCTCCAGTTGGGTTTTTGACCGTACAAGTTCATATTACCACCACTATCCCACTCCAGTGCTGCTGGGCTGCCGTCAGTCTTTGGGTCACCTCCCCACCCCTGTTGTATGTGGGTGCATGAGAGTCTGTCATTCCAGTGAGTTTTAAAAAAAAAAAGGTAGGCCATTGGTTTGTTTGCTGAGAGGTCCCCGCCTACCCTGACAGGGAGGAGCCTGGAGGCAGCCCATCAGTCATCCAGGATGACCTTGACAAAACTGGCCACGTCTGTCTCTTTGGAGTCATGCAGGGTGAAAAATGGATGTTGCTGCAACAAAATAAGAAAAAAAAAACATAGTTAGATATATGTTACTGAATACCAATCGCATTTTAAAACAATGGCTGTGTTGTTATTTACTGGAAATACACACATCATCACATTGGTGGGTTAACTGGCTAAGCCTGGCCTCTTGTGGACAAAAGCATGAACCAAAGAACACTCAATATTACCGAGGGATGGTTTCAGTATAATATTTTTTGGTGGTTTTTGGGTATGAAGGAAACATTTAAAAACTACTAACCATTAATTCTGTATAAGCTGGTCTCTCATTTGGCTTCTTTCTTAAGCTGTGAAAATGAAGGGATGAAAGAAAACGTGACGACAACAGCAAACAGCAATCGAAATAAATGTGTTACAACTTCATTTAAAAAACACTTTTAAAAATAGTCAAGTGACATAAACATCATCTCACATCAAGTTGGAGCTCCACAGATACTGTACTTGTGCCAACTCTCTCTGTAAACAAAGCGCAAACACTGACCCCTGCTGGGCCTTAGTGGCGCCATTTTTAGTTTTATTTTTACACAGCAAGGTGAATGAGGAGCGTAAGGCTGAGGTAAGTCTACACATTTGTCATCGAGTGTGAGGCTCACCACTGGGAGATGAAGTCTACAAACTCTGGTGAGAAACGGTCGGCAGGCAGCTGTGGAGATGGCTCGTCCACCACCTGTTTGAGCTGCTGGAAGGGGGTGCCCCATGATTCATAGGGGAATTTCAAAATGGCCAGCTCAATCTAGGTGACAGGGGAAGGCAGATTAACGAGAACCGTGCATGTTAGAGCTACTATTCACAACAGCATATTATGATTTTGGTCACGGCTAAGTATTGCATTGTTGTACATTTTATGCTCATTTGTATTTCATGTAACACTTTTTCAAACTCAGAGCATTCTTAGGTTTTTAAGAGCGTGAAAATATTCCTTCAGGTGAGAGGAAATAGAGATAGTGTTGTTCCATTGTGTCTGTTTGTACGCCATGTTTATTATGGAGGCCATTATGGACTACTAAGGATCTGACATATCAAAATTATCAAAGGGCATTAGTTCTGGGTTGTGTTTGGAAATAGGAGTTACATGTAATGGGAACTCTTTTGACTTATCATATATTTAACCAACTGTACCTTATGACAAAGTATACTTTTTTGGGAGGACAGATTGAAATGGAGCCTTAGATTACTAAGAGCATTATCAATGTCAAACAAAACAAGGTGCTCAGAGCTGAATGGAAGAAGCTCCACTTTTACTGTTTGGAAATATCATATAATTATATATCATAATAAAGAAAATCAATTTAATGATTAAAATTGCATTGTTTTAAATGTGAGCAGAACGAAGAGTTTGATATCCATTCCTACTCACCATCGTAATACCAAGACTCCATATATCTGACTTGACACTGTAGCCTTGCTGGTTGAGGTCAGGGTTGATCCGCTCGGGCTGAAATGGGAATTATTAGGAACAGTTAGTTAGTTAGTACAACTACTATCTGAAAATAATGTGAACAATAAGAGCTATAACTATACCGTACATTTTAAAAACAAGGTTTGCTTTACAAACATTTTTGAACATAAAGAAAAAAAGAAGGACTTATAATCAAACAAACTGATGAAATATCAGACATGCATTGAAATCTCAAGAAATAAAAAGGCATCTAAAGATGAGAATAAGTGTAATAAATCTGTCAGCTAAATGTTTCTCTCTTCTTTTTTTTGAGGATTTAAAATAATATACTGGTTTTGTGAGCCAACATTCCAGGCAAGATGTTTGAAAGCTTAGGGGTTAAGACAGTAGAGACCTGATAACTATCAGGCTGAGGTCTGGGTTTCAAATGGAGCTTCTGCTCTGTGGATTTGTGGTTCTACTCCAACTAATGAGGAGACCTCAGACACTGACACAGGGAATCCTTCAGTAAATCTCTGGAGAATCTTTTCTGTGAATCTCAGCTAGCTGGTACCAGGAGTCCCCACTTACCGCCATGTAGGGCTTGCAGCCTGCATCCATTGTTTTGGCCACAGAGTCCACCAGGTGGCCACTGATGCCAAAGTCGCACATTTTCACTTGGCCCTGAGTGTTGATGAGAACATTGGAGGGCTTCACATCTAGAGAGTTGGGAAAATGATGAGAGAACATAGCAAACCAACAATGAGAAACATCAGGAAAGTAAAAACTGTATACACTGATGATGTGATCTTCTAATTACCTCTGTGTATCACTGACAGGTTACTGTGCAGATGCTCTAATGCCTTGACAATCTGTGGAGTGAGTAGAGAAAACGAAGGAAAAAAGTTGAATTCTTCAAGAAATATTCTCATAGATGACATCTCAATGATTACAATGTGTTTTACATGCACCTTAATACAATTTGTTTTATAATCTGCTTATTGTTGAGTTTGGTGCTGCAATTTCCCTGGAGTCTCATATATTTTAAAGCAGCACATATCTAAGTAACTAGTGAACACAGCCTCAACATCCTTTCATACCCAAACAGAGAGGTAAAAATTAATTTGTGGTTTTACGTGATGTGTTTATTTCTTATATCATCTGCACCAGAGCATTTCCGGTTAAATTAGCTGTTGTGGAATCAGAAATTATACGGGAGCTGTTAGAAGTAATTGCAGCACAATAAAGACAGCACAATTTCCCTCTCATCTTGCATCTCAGAAAAAACAAAGCGACCAAGCGTGTTTTTCCCCCCCAAAATTTGGTAATATTCCTTTAAATGTTAAACCGATATAAAATATATGATAGGACGTACTGCTACTGTGATCTTGCCCAAGATGTCCTCGGGGATGTTTTTGCCTTTATCAATAACCTTCTTATAGAACTTATCCAGAGATGTGTCCATCAGCTCCATACAGATCCAAACATCCCCCTGACAAAAGATAAAATAAGAAACGATGATCACACACTCAGCGTAACACAGGCAGGAGTGCATGCCAGTCATAAATGTCACTGTTTATTCACCTCTCTGAAGAGGGCCCCATAGAAGGTCACAGTAAAGAAGCAGTCCACTGTCCTCATGGAAATGTCCAAGTCCATCAGGAGCCTCTTCTGCTCCAGAGTGTTCACTGTGGCACGAATCCTCTGGGGACACAAACATCACAGATTGGGCTGCCAGTGTCATCAGCGGGGCAGATATAGCTTAAATCAAATGGTGTCCAGTGTCCTATAACGCTCAATACAACATGTCATAGATGCAATAGATCTATCAATGTTCAAATGTTTACAAGTTGAGCTCATATGTTGAATACATCCACGAGTGATGGTGCTATTTTAAAAAAGGTGCGGTGCATTTACAGAGATTCCAAAACCAGGTAACCTGAGCAGCAGCTTCCCAGCCTACCTTGACAGCCATGATAACACCACTGGGCACATGTCTCATCTTGTCCACCACCCCGTAGGCTCCCCTCCCCAGCTCTGCAATCCGCTCCAAGTCATCGGCCTTCACCACAAAGTTCTGGACGGAA